GCATAAAGCCACCCCCCTGCACACACACACACACATTACTGATCCAAGATAAAGTATATTAGTTGAAGGTACCATTACTAATTAAAGTTATTTGCCTGCAAAGTATGTTTCTGCATTTATAAAAGATCTCCCACTTGCACATACAAACAAATTATTTTTCTCACATGTGCAGACAGACAAACACAGACATTCCTGCCCAAGGAAAAACAGACCAAGGTTCTCCCACCCCCCCACTCCTGATCCCTCAATATAGAAATGTGGCAGAAAACAGCACAAAAAAGGAAAGGGAAAAGGAAGGGAGAAAAGAAAACTGGCTGGAGGTGAGATGAAGGGAGTCAGTAACTGAACATGGAAGGAAAGACAAATGAGAGAAAACCTCATTAGATATTACAAAAAGGGTTAAATCCATCAGATTTACACTGCAAGCAACACGTATTATTCAGGCTAATCTTTTCAGCAATCAGGATTGTATCTCTTAGCCCTTCCTTCCTTCCTTCCTTCCTTCCTTCCTTCCTTCCTTCCATCCATCCATCCATCCATCCATTCATCCATCCGCAAATATAAGATGAAGCACCAATTCACAACTACTATATATGGGGAGAAAATCTCTTCTCATGCTGGAAAATGCAACATAAACATTCTAAGAGTTAAAAATCAGAACTTTTCCGTCAGTGAAAAGATGTCCCCATCCTGATTAATAAAAATAGAGATCAATTCCTCAGTAGGCTTAAAGGCTAATTAAATGACCACACTAAGTGCTAGTTTAGAAACAGAATAGCAGGGAAGTGCCACTAATCAGCCTGGAATTGATTTGGAAGTAAAATCAAATGTGTAGGAGCAACTGAGGGATTTATAGTGGTATTTAAACTAGTCAATGGAAAACCCAAAAAAAAAGAGGCCCAGGAGCCAGGAAAAAAAAGAAGAAGAACCAAATTCACTCTTATCATCAGAAGGCCAACGAGAAGCCTGTCATTTAGGTATAGCAAAGTCTCCCCAACGTAGCAGACCTCTGCTGTGACAGGTGTATCCCAGTAGTATAATGAGCAAATAATCTTGCTGTACCAAGACCAATTTTTCAATATAATCCAGTGTAATCCAATTTTTACTTCATTTGGAGTTACAGGTATTCCTCAATTTACAACCAGTCACTTAACAACCATTCAAAGTTACAACCATCTGAAAAAACAGGACTTGCAATCCGGATCTAAAATTCTATGGTCACTTTCCCCTGGAAGTCACATGACTGTACTTCAGTTGCTCGGCAACAGAGGCACATTTATGATCACTTGCAGTGTCCTGTGGTCACGTGACCATTATTTTACAATGGCGTTGCTGAAAGCTGGCAGCTACTTTCAGGTTTTGGCAAAACCGTGCCTTTAGCGAACCATTGCTTTGCTTAATGACCACAGCAAAAACTTTACAAACATCATTGTGCGACCATTGTGACTTATGAACTTAATGAGCGGGCTCCATTTTGGTGGAACTTGAGGATTTCCTGTATTTGATGGGGTGGAGATTAGAGTAGAGTAGGTTGGAGTTGGGCAGCATCCAAATCAAATTATTAATTTTTATTTTATATTAACTTAATTTATTAATTTCAGATGCCACCCATCTCCCTTTCAAAAGCAACAAATAACTGAGAAGAAACCCACTTAGCTTTGGAGGACAAAAGATGATTAGGCAGGTCCTGGGCTATAATGAGATATGGACCTGCTAATAATTAGGTAGAAGTGTGGTAGAGTAATCCTTTAATATGGTTTGATTTTTATTGTTATTCACCTGTAAAAAGCCAGTCATATGGTGAAGAATCTGCTGAAGAAAAAAAAAATTAAGGGGGATTTGACCAGAATTTTAGGTAGCGCTTAGGCCTTATTTTCTTTTTCTTTTAATGTTAATCTATCATGTTTGCATGCATTTATATCCCAATAGCTTCATTTGCATATGTTATTTTATTTTGGGGTTGTTAGTGACTGAAATATTTTTAATTCTACCTTCACTAGGTAGTATCTTTAAAAAAAATGAAATTCATTCTGGTGAATATATTAAATGTGAAGAAGAAAGTAGAGAGAAGGAGTTCTCCACAGAATATATTAAGAAAGGGAAGATTGTAGAAGGATTCCTCCAAGATATGGAAGTAGGATTTCCCAGATAAGTGTTCATCCAATTGCAATCTTAGAATTCCTAGCCCAGATTTTTTTTTTTTTTTTTTGGTAAAAAACCAAAATGACTTGCACAATCTTTTCATATAGAAATTGACTGATTGCCACAAGCTTTCTTCCCTTTCACCAGTATAAATTTAAATTGTGGGTGATTTATATTGTTGTTGTTAATCAACACAGTGAAATGTTTGCAGGACCTGAAACTTCCATCAAAATGACAAAAGCCCGATTTCACTACCTTTGTACAGGTGTGTGATATCCCCATGGGTGTAAAAAAGGGATAGGGCTTGTGCCTTGACAGTGTGATGCTGTTTTTGTTTATTCCCTCTGCCCAGCCCCCCAAATAACTTTCCAGGGATCAGAAAATTTTCCTATTTGATTTCTAATCTGTTTAGAATTGAGCTGCAGATTTGCAATATCCAAACTTGATCTCTTGTGTGTAACTCCAGCAGAGATCTCTATCAGTGGTGGAATTCAAATTTTTTACCAACCCATTCTGTGGTAGGGCGTGGCTTGGTACGCATGGCTTGGTGGGCATGGCAGGGAAAGAATATTGCAAAATCTCCATTCCCACCCCACTGTGGGGCCAGCCAGAGGTGGTATTTGCTGGTTCTCCAAACTACTCAAAATTTCCACTACCGGTTCTCTATAACCTGTCAGAACCTGCTGAATAGCACCCCTGATCTCTATGTGAACTCACCTTGAGAAAAATTTGGGACTCTTACCTTTATTTGTCGACAATTTGGATTATATCATGTAAGTTCTGGTAGGTTGTTTCAGAAGTTTTCTGAATTTCTTCACTAAATTATGCCTACTAGGCAGTTGTGCCTGGCTTAGAAATGACTTGGAGGATGTTTCGGAGTTCTTATGTAAGCCCACCTATTCATTAAACAAGCTGACCTTTTCCAGGCTTTAGCACATGCCTGAAAAAAGCAGCTCAGGAATCCACTCATTAAAATTAAGGGGACTGTGAGAATAATGGCACCTTTTTTCTCAAGCTCTCGCGGAAGCCTAGAAACGATTTGGCTGTTTAACAAGTAACAGAGAAGTGTGGTGCTCCCACCACTTTCTGAACCATTTTTTTTTTTTGGAAGTGGACAGAATGCTAATTCCTTATTCCAAGGGTTCAGTCTGCAATTTAAACCCATTTTCCTCCCAAAATGGCAAGAAGCTGCAGTGTCAGTTTTCAGCAGTCATGGTTAGAAGCAGCTTCAAGGGTTGCCAGAAGAGGACTTGGTAGTGAAGGCTGCAGCAGTGTGAGTAGGACAGAGGAAATAAGATTTGCTTCTGGTGAGTGTAGTCTTGGTTAGCAGAGAGCAGAAAGAATGTGTGAAGAAGGAAACCCTGAATTAGGGGTATAACTTTTGTAAGAAAGAACTGCATATTCCCACTGCTCTGTTCATGGCTTTCCTGGTCTTCTTCAGGTGACTGCTTCAGAAGAGACTATAACATACAGAGGCTGCATAAGTGAAACAGCAAGCAGTGATTTAAAAATGAAACATATAATAGTCATCAAGGTAGTATTATAAATAAAACTCATTCAACTGCAGATAATTTGTTCATAGGAAACATTTGCAATTCTTACATGTCCTTTCCACTTTCTTTTGGTCTTTTTAAAATGCCTTTCCTTCCTTCTGCTCCCCTTCTCTATTCAGTGGATCCTATCATTTTTGGCAACTGTGCTTCCTTAGTCTGAGTAGCCTTGCGGCCTTGAGATGCTTTACTTTCATGGCCAGCATAAATGAGGCAATTTGCACAATCAAGGGCAATGAAAAACTCCATTATATCTTTTTGTTGGAAGGATTCATCTTTAAGTACAGTATGGTGGTTACGCACTCAGAGTATTAAGAAAAAAGGCAATGCTGAATCTAACGTTTTAGAACAAAAGAGCCCAAACTGAATGCCGAAACTCTGCTTAGCAGTAATGGGGCTTTATTCAGAAGATTTGAGTTGTGTTAGCCATCTAGGGGCAGATTTCCAGGGAAGGAGATGGAGAATGCAAACAAGGTTGTTGAAGAATAAGTTGGGTTTGCTTATTTTACTTAAAACAACACACATCTGAACAACACCTATAAGGCCGTATGTTTTGTCATTATGGGTACGTACTCCGCAAACTCATATACGAGATATAGGAAATCTTCAGCTCCCTTATGGATACTAACATCCTGAGGGATGAGTTAGCCTAGAAATCCTGAAAATTGCATGTGTCAGTTTTTCAGGAAATGATTTTTCAGAGGCAATAAAACCGATTCATCTGAGCTTATATTCAGAGTCTGAGGAGAATAACCCTGAAATTGTTTGACTCATCTTGGGAAGGGATTGAGAGGTTTATGGATTCTTAAAGGAATCAATTCTACTTGCCCTGTACTGTACAACAACAACAAAAAAATGGCTCAGTGGTTCTTCCAGGATTCAGGAGAGCAGTTTGTACTTGCTCTAAGATAGGGAGATGGACAGTTCCAGTCTTGAGGTGCAAATGGGTCATCGGGTTTGCTCCTTTATTAAGGGATGCCTCCCCTACCATCTTGGGTTTTGTTCTTATAGGACTTCGTTGCTTCAATGTGCCTTATTTGTTTGACCCTCTCCTTTGTTTGGGGGGGGGATACAGACTTCAGACCACCACACAGACACGTATTCCCTTCCCTTACTAGATAAATGGTGCTGCAGGACAGGCCCTGCTAATCTGAGGATGGGTGAGCTTCACCTGGAGGATTCCTCTGTGCAGCATAACATGGAGACATCCAGCACTGCTGAGTGTGTTTCACAAACGGCATACCTTCATAGAAACCAGTCCACAGAATCTAAGCCGTCCTCGGTGCCTGCCGCTGCCCTCCCCATCCCCAGCCTCAGAGGGAGAGTGCCAGTCAGAGAATGCGTGGGTGTAGGAGACCGACCGAAGCGTTGGATACTGCTGGGTTGAGGTTTTTGTCTATAACAATGAACGGCACAATCCATTTCTCCCAGAGAGCCAGGATTCAAAAGGAAGCTGAAGCGAACGGGACTCGCAGGTGTGTCTCTTATTTCTCTGAAGGCCGGCTCTTTCCTTGCCTGTGACAGCACCAGCAGAGAATGTGGTTTTTCACAAATGCCTCTGACAGCCCAATATTTGAAGGTGACACAACTGGCAAAATTCAATAAATCCGCTTTACGTGGCGGTTGGCATTGTTTGGTGCTCAGGTGGTGTGCTGAAGGGGGTGAAGGAAACTGAACTGCTGGAGGAAACTTCTTTATCTTAGTGGCTATTATGATGGAGCTAAATTAAACAAGCCCATTGCTGGAGAAGAAGCAGGCACTGAAGTCTCCCAGGAAGACTCTCTTGTTAATCAAAACAGAAAAGTCCCCCTCTCCCCCCCCCACTTTCTTTTCTTCCATTTAAGGATCAGAAAGACTCTGGCATTTCTTGTGGCTGCAGAGAATTCAGGAGGAGGAGGAGGGGGGGAGGAGGAAATGCCACACCAAATATCAAATCCACAGGACGGTGTTTGTGTGGCTTTTTTGTGTTGCTGAATAAAAGTGGGTTAACCCCTGTGATATTGATGCTTATTCTTGACCATTTTGCAGACACTGCCTATGTGAACGTCCTATTTTCCTGCGTTGCTTATGCCATTAAATGGTCACAGCAGCAGTTCTGAGGTATGTTATAATCCATGAAAACCTTTTGACACAGTATTGTGACAAAGGCTGGCCCAGCTTTTCTTTAAGGCTTTTTCCTCCCCTTTTGTGGGCTAAGTTTTTAAACATCTTTTGGATTGTGGGTACAATACTTTCAGCTGGATCTTGCAAACTGGCTTGAGATGGAAGAGGCAGCGCCACGCAGAACAAATAAATACCTTTCTCTGAATTCAGGGAGAAATCGCAGCATTACATTGTGACAACCGTGGTACTCTATATATAGGCAATGCTTTTGTCTTGCATTTTTGCATTTGCATTTACTCATTTATTTTATTCTATCCCAACCTGGTACTTTGCTAAAGAATTCATTTTGTTCTAGATAAAGCAAGGGTATCAGGAACTCTTCGGAATGAGATGTGGGCCCTATGATTGTAGACAAACTGGAGACAATCCATTTCCTCTAGCGATTAATTTAAAGGAAACTATTCAGTGATGATATAGGCACCTGGAGAAGCCATGGAGGGGAGTCTTGGCAGTCCAGAGCTTTCCCAGGGAGGAAGCAGCACATTCCAGAGAGAAGCCCAAATTAAGAGACTACACAGTCCCAAACCAGATGGAAGGGTGGGGAAGAGATTCAGGGTAGTTACCACCCTGGAATTTCTCAGGCTGTATCTATCAGAGTAGAGGGTTATAGCTTTAGCGTGACAAGATTCTGTCCATTAGATGAAAGCAAATTAAGGATTGGACTCCATTGGATTTCACTGTGTCATCTTTCGGTTTGGCCTTGACATAATATGGTGTATGGGGAATATGTATAAATGCCTTCCTGGTTGTTAGATTGCTACCCAGACAGCTAATCATTAGTGACCTCTATAAATCAGCAAATATTGTAAACAGCCTTAGTGGGGAATATAACCTGATCCTGAGGTGTTCTTCAAATCAGGAGGTTTGATAGATTATCACCCCACTCTTTCGTCTTGCTTTCTATGCTTCTCACCTTTTTCTGAGGTTTTTCAGTTTTGCATTTACTCATTTAATCCAGTGGACAGCAGATGCTGGAAGTTGCTTTCCATTTCTCAGAATCAAGCAGGACATGCTTGAAGTTGCCTTCTATTCCTTACGAAATATTTCCCATGAAGTCTAAACAGCATGGACAGTGTGGTACCATGCTCTTCTGTGACTTGGATACAATGCATCAGTTTATGCAGTCAGATTTGCATCGGTCTTTTTGCTCGTGAATCTCACTATTTATGCATGTTCAGTTGGTAAAATAGTAAAATAGGGTAGAAATAGAATTAGAATAAATGTTAAAAAAGAAAACATGAAACCTACAGAAATAGCAGAGACAAGAGGATTATTTAAATAGAAAATAACGGAGAGCTTTTCTTTGTAATAAAAGTAACATATTCTACAATAAAAATATTTTGATTTGTGTGTCCTACCTTGGATTGTATCATCCCCAAATCAAGAACCCTTTTAAGTATTTGATTTTTCTTATTCAGGGAAAGTTAGACTTGTCAGAGTTGAACACGATGTAGTTGGATTCTGCCCAATAATAGGTCAAGGTTGTCTTCTACTATGATTTTATTCTCTTGGCCATTAGTCAATCATCCTAGCATTGTCTCTTTTGCAAAACTAAGTAATATCTTTTCCATCCCATCTTTATAAATGATCTAAAGATGTTTGGTGGCACTGGATGTTTATCTGGAACAGCGTTTCTCAACCTTACCAATTTTAGGAGGCATAGATTTTCCAGTTTCAGAATTCCCTAGCCATTATGTTATATACAATGCTGTATCAGAACCTCTCTGATATATTTTGCTGCTGGCATTTTATAGGGAAATCCCAACTCTGAAAAGTCCACAAAAGGTCTGGCCTTGTCACACTTTAAGAGAAAATCTAGAACAGCCGTTTGAGTGATCTAAATAATTTATTCCTCCTTAAATAAAGAAAGTGGGCCTTGGAAGACAACAGAGAGACATAGATTGATCTCTATTTTCATTTTGGCCATTCTAAAAGTTTGGATTTGTTAGAACCCATCTATTTACCATATTTCTATCCTATTTTCACCAGTCTACTACTCTAGTTGTTCTGTTGTATAATGTCCCAAATGTGATGGCAATTATTAATTCTCTAATCCACATTTCTTTCAGAATGATTAAAACATTTATATTAGTCCACAGGCCAGCAGCTTAGTGCCAACCAGGTCATTTTTCTCCTTTATTAAGATGTGCATATTGATGCAAAAGCAGCAGTGGCTGTTTAACTGTAGTGCTTGTTTAAATTAGTTTTTAGGGAACCTTTTCACTACCTATGAAACACAAGGTATAAATCTGTTTTATGGGCACACACACTGGGAAAAAAAATATTTCTTTTTTTTTAAATTTACCTTGACATGTGTGCACATGGATTTGCATGAAATAAGGAATTCGTAGTATCACTTTTTTGGGGGGGGGGAGTTTCAGAATGTTCTTCACCACTTCACAGTGTGACAAAATTATTATAAAATTATTTATAATATTGCATTAAAATCAGAGGCAGGAAATGTTAGCCCATTTTTATGGCATTGTTCTTTAGCCAACTTATCAATTCACCCACAAGGGATTTGTAAGTACTTATTACCCAGTCATCTGAGAATAAACAGTTCGCCATGTCGGCACTAACAAGTCAGAGTAGAGTGATTTAATAAGAGTTACTATGCATTAGATCTCCCACATGGAAGTAACATGACCTGGTGAAAGGGTTGGGAGAGTGGAATTGGCATAAACACAGGATACAGCATATTCATAGTAGATAATAACATATCTGAATGTTTTACAATGACAAAAATCATATAAATTGAGAATCCAGTATGTTCACAACAATTAAAGGTATGGTTATCTTATAGGATATGTATGCCCAGTGCAGAAAATTCTTGCTCAGATGCACATACACTTGACACATTGTAGATTCTGTAGGGTTGCATCTTCTGAATGGCTTTTTTTTTTTAAAGTCACCATGAAGATAGCTTGTGAAGTACCTCAATTCAATTGGAATAAGCCCTTGGCCTTATGAGAGTTTTGGTAAAAAACAATGTGGCAGAACGATCCCTGTTCTTTATTGTTTTGCATTGTATGCATTATCCATCATAGTTCTAGGACACTACTACACACCATAGGAAGAGACAGATTGGGAACTAGAGGTCTTTGTCTCTGTAGAGCTGGGGATAACAATTGTTTCCTCTGCCCCTAAAAATTAGGTGTAATCTGATATTAAAAAGATTCTTAACATTCTAAGATCCTCCAAAGATCCTGAGGCTAGAAACTTCACCTTGATTTTTAAAGCACCCTTTATAGTTCAAAAATCTACCTTAATTGTTTACGGTAACTTTCTTACCATGTTTCTTTGTAACTTCTTGCTTGAGGAGGGATAGAGAACTTGAAATCTTGCATTCTCTTGTTTTATTTTGATTGATAAAGCTATCATTTAGTAATGAATTTCAGGATTTTTGTTTGAATGGAACCACCAATGGCTGATTGCTATTTAAGATACTTACTCTGTTATGTAGTGTCTAGTGGAGCTTGTGAATAGTAATATTATTGATGTTCCACACTGGATCTTGTAGAGAGAAGTATTTGCCTTCCAAGCTGCCCTTTGGTTAATGCTTTAATTCTTTTTGCTTCAAAGCTCTTCTTCAAACAAGTCTCAGAAACTGCTCAGCTAGAGAGAAGGTTAGTACATTTTCTTCAAAAGCTGCTCTCATTGCATGAATGATCAAGAAATTGTCTTCTAGTAATTCTTACAAATAAATAAATATCATTCAGTCTGGGCTGTTTAGCCATGACCTTAAAAAACTCATTAGCAGATAAATCATTTGAACAGGGCAATAAGTGTAACTATATGTGAGGAAAAACAGACGTGCCTAGTCTTTTCTAAATATCTATTGGTTTATTCTTTCAGAGGCAGAATAAATCCATCTATTAGGTATGTGTGTTTGACAAAATGGATTTGGTCTTCTTTTTCAATTAAGAAATAAATATATCACTTGCACAATTGGAAGCCACCCAGTAACTGACTTGTAACAAATTACCTCCACAAAATGATAGTTAATTTGGGCTAAATTACAGAGACTAATCAGATCAATAGGTTGGAATGAAATATGTGAACAGAATCAATGGCTTCTAAGGAATGCATTGTGCAATGAATATGTGTGGCAAAGCCCAACATTGTTCATTCATTGTTAAGTGAGAAGGATAATGAATATTTGCTGGTAATAAATTGCTGTCAGGATCTATGTAGCAGTCATAGTAAAATTCTTATCAGTTTAGATTTCATTGTTGCATTAAAATAAAGAAACAAATGAGTCAAAATCAATGAAGTAAACTGAAGATTCTAGTACTAAACAATAACCTATAGGGCAAGAGCAGGTTGGAAGTAGGGATTGTCCTGGCTGAAAATTCATTAGTAACAAATAGACTTTGCCCAGGAAAACAGGACCTTGGACAGCTCCAAGCTGATAACCTTGAGTAGACCATCCTGGAGGCCAATTGACTTCAGCCTGGGATGAAAAGAAGTTCAGAGTTAATCCTTTTGATTCTGTCACTGTTCATAGATTCCAGCCATGGGGGCTTTCAGTATCAACAGCTTGAGGTGAGAAGACAGGCAAAGTCCAGAGGAAGCAACAAAACTAATTACTCCTTAGGGATGCTGACTACTGGTTCTAATCCTGAGGACAAGATCTTTGAGCTTGTTGATCTTCGATCGGCAGTTCAGCAGTTCAAATCCCTATGTCACGTAATGGGGTGAGCTCCCGTTACTTGTCCCAGCTTTTGCCCACCTAGCAGTTCGAAAGCACATAAAAAAATGCAAGTAGAAAAATAGGGACAATCTTTGGTGGGAAGGTAACAGCGTTCCGTGTGCCTTTGGCATTTAGTCATGCTGACCACATGACTATGGAGACATCTTCGGATAGTGCTGGCTCTTCGGCTTTGAAATGGAGATGAGCACCGCCCCCTAGAGTCGGGAACAACTAGCACATATATGCGAGGGGAATCTTTACCTTTACCTTTTTTTAACTGTACCAATGGGCTGGTCAGGATTTCCAGATGTCTCTTCTTCTGAATCCTTGCCTTGTTCACTGCTGCCAGCTGAGATTTTTAGTCTTGCTATCACATTTTCACCCTTGTGGGAATGTTAGTGATGTATACTGATACAGATGAACAATAACATTATTCAGACTAATTTTATCCCAATTGATTATGTGATTGCCATCATGGAAATGAAACACCTTCAGCAGAAAAGAAGTGGAATATGCATGGCTTGATAATTTTATACTCTGATGAACATACATTTTACCTGAGGGGAAAGTAACAGGCACTAAATAGCTTCTTCTGAAATACAATTATTTTAGTGGTAAAAGTATTTCCAAATGTAGCAGCAAGAATCAAGATGGAGAAGAAGAATAAAAAATGAACTCGGGAATGTGAAAGCATGATCTCACATGAGACTGGTGGTCTGTTCCAAATAAAGTTCATATGAAGTTCATTGTACTGTTCTGGCAAGGGAATATTAGATGGGCACAATCAAGAGATCTAGGCTTTAAATTGGACAGATAAATTATAAATGAGTGAATTGTGGATGTTGAAGGAACAGGTGTGCTCAAAACATTTTGTTGCTTCAATCATAAAACAAGCCATCTCACTGCTCCTTATGTTCTGTAATTTTATCTAGTTTCCAATTAAACTGGTTTTAAATATTAAACATTAATTCTGGAGTGGGATATCATAATCTGAACACTGCCTCTCATTATTTATAGTCTGAGATGGATGGACAAATTCTGTCTAATGGTAGAGTTGGTCCAGGAAGAAGCACTTACTCTGTAATGAGGCCATCTGAGCAAAGATTTATATTCTTATGTAAAATCTAAGAGAAGAATATGATTACTCCTCAACAGGCTAGTGACTTCTGGACACATTGTCCTTAGCTTCTATTTCCTGTCATCTTGGTCAGATATGAGTGTTGAAATCCAACACCTGGAAGGCACGAGGCAGAGAAAGCTGGAGTGTGGCTTACATTAAATTTACTTTTCAATGTCCCTTCAAGTGTGGTGGCAATGTACCTATGAGAGGAAATGGTTCAACTGGTATGTTTTGTTTGGCAATTAGAGAGGCCCTATTCTCAAAAAACAGAGGGACTCGGTGGCTCAGTAGCTAAGCTTGTTGATCGAAAGGTCGACAGTTCAGCGGTTCAAATCCCTAGCGTTGCATAATGGGGTGAGCTCCTGTTACCTATCCCAGCTTCTGCCAACCTAGCAGTTTGAAAGCATGTAAAAAATGCAAGTAGAAAAATAGGGACCACCTTTGGTGGGAAGGTAACAGTGCTTCGTGCACCTTTGGCATTGAGTCATGCTGGCCACATGACCACGGAGATGTTTTCGGACAGCACTGTCTCCTCAGCTTAGAAATGGAGATTCTAGACTTGGGAATGACTAGCACGCATGTGCAGGGGAACCTTTACTTTTACCTGGTCTCCAAAAGCATCTGCTATTTTATCATTTACCTACAAAATAAACTGGAAGAAGCCTAAAGACAGCCTATTTATTTTCAAATTTCTGTTGTCATTCTAGAATGCACTCTTAAGGTTTGTTTTGTCATATTTTGCATGCTTTTGTCCATTCTCTGCTGATGCAGACCATGGCTCTTGTTGTTTCTCTGACTAAATGCCAGTTTTGTCACAATTCATTGGTTGCAACCCACTTGTTGCATTTTACTACATCTGCTTAAAATGACCTCATAGATTTTAGAGATGAAACAGTCACTTAAAAATCCATATTCTACACACTTATAGTTGAATACTCACGGCAGCCAATATTTCAGAAGCTAGCCTTATCTATAAAAGCAGTAATATATGAGGTGCTAAATTTGTTTAATGGAAGATTTTCTCTAAAGTGCCTGATACACCTTTCCAGCTAGTTAGGCTAAGAGCATGATGCCTTGGTTTGAACAAAAGTCGTATATGTAATTTGCTATCTGCTGTGGACATTCAGATGAATACCAGACTAGCCTTCCCTTTCTCAGAGTCCTCCAAGATATGGAACTAGAATTCTCACCTTTCCCAAAATGCATTGTAGATCAATTGTAGAAAATTGTAGATTAATATGTAGGGGAAAAGAGGTCTGTAGTGTACAAGAGGCAAGGAATTTAGAATTTAGCCAGAAGAAAGAACATCTATGGAGTATAAGTAGTCCTCGACTTAAGACCACAATTGAGCCTAACGTTTCTGTTGCCAAGCTAAGTGAGTTAGTTGCTAAGTCAGTTTTTCCTCATTTTACAACCTTTCTTGCCACAGTTATTAAGTGAATCACTGCAGTGATTAGTAATATGGTGGTTATGTGAATCTGACTTCCCCATTGACTTTGCTTTTCAGAAGGTCGCAAAAGGGGATCCCATGACCCCTTCATAAATATGAACCAGATGTCAAGCATCTGAATTTTGATCATGGGGATGCTGCAATGGTCCTAAATGTAAAAAACAGTCAAAAATCACTTTTTTCAGTGCCACTGTAACTTCCGACAGTCACTAAACAATAGCAATAGCACTTAGACTTATATACCACTTCACAGTGCTTTTACAGCCCTCTCTAAGTGGTTTACAGAGACAGGATATTGCCCCCAACAATTTGGGTCCTCATTTTACCCACCTTGGAAGGATGGAAGGCTGAGTCAACTTTGAGCCTGGTGGGATTTGAACTGCCAAACTGCAGCTAGCAGTCAGCTGAAGTAGCCTGCAGTACTGCACCCTAACCACTGCGCCACCTTGACTCTCTCTCTTTTTTTTTTGACTTAACAACAAGCGGTTGTAAGCCAAGGACTACCTATGTGATGCTCCTCTAATACAAAAGCGTGAAGTTGGTTGCTTGTTCCTGGTTCCATACTCTTGAAAAAAACAGAAATGCAGCTCAGTAAACTGATTACATAGAATGTAGTTAATATTGGAGTTAAAATTAAATATAGAATTATCCCATATATATTTGTCACCAAGAAATATTTTCCTCTCCCATGTACTATTTCAGTATAATAAGAATAATTGACTTTGAACAAGCAAATTTACTGCTTGATACCAAACACAACTATAGATTTATATGTCACCATCCTGACATAGCTATCCTCCAAATGTTCATGTAAATAAGACTCTAGGAATAAGCAAGCACCACTGTCTCTTACGCTCTGCTCTAAGAAACATGCTAGCACCAGTTCATAAAATATTTCAGAGTAAGAGAGTTATTTCTACTTTTTTGGGGGGAATTTTTCCAACAAGTAGCATTCAGTCTTGCCAGGTACAACTGTGTGTGTTAAAAGTAATGCCAAAAACTGAAAATCGATGGTTATGCCACAATATATTTAGTAGACTTTAAAAGATGCCAACTTTAATTCAAATTGCTGAAACTTATATAGACCAGCCTCCTTTCCCCTTTTTCTCTTTCTAATACTAGCTTCTCTTCTTTTTTCCTTCAGGTTTGCTTTCAGACACCCCTTTAAGCCTTTTTTTTACTGCCCAGCAGCTGCTGCAAAAGATTTTGGGAATGAGATGATGCTCTGAATGCAATTTAAAGGTTGCACAGTGTCCTGCTATCTATTCCATTGGACAAAGGTGCTGGAAATAAAGTACAAATTAAGAAAGTATGAAGTACAAAGATATTTAATTTCATGCCAATAATTGAAACATTTGCCCATTCATTAATAGAAATAGGTAAGTGCTGTTCTGCTTTCCTTTCTGAAGCCTTTTCAATTATTTCAGCCTCTGGGTGCCAGCAAGACAAGTTTGGACTTTGGCTTTTTTGGCATATGCCTGAGATCAAGTGATTGTGTTGATGGTAATCCATTGTTATGATACCAATCGCACCAATCTGCCTCCAAGCCACTGATCAAGTGGAATGCTGCTGATCGTGAAAATTTGTCCAATGCAACCTCAGGTATTTACATGACAACAGATATTTGTGGGTTTATAAGTTAACATACCAACTTATTATGACATCATCATTGATTTCTTACTGAATGGAGGAGCAAGAAAGGACTTTCATTCTTCCCCTACCCAGCAACTGGCAATAGAGCTTATTCAACACATTGACAAGTTTGCTCCAATTAGTTGTTACTGCAGACACCAAAAGGAGAAAGAGGGTGAGAAAGGAAGTTTAAAGAGGAAACAAAGCTCTTTTTTTTCATATTTCTTTTGCAAATTATCATTGCCTAAGCTTTGGGGAAGCTTTTGCTTTCATGCTGAGCTGCCCACGCTACTTTTTTTTTTTTTAAAAAAGTATGAATAATAATGTAGGCTTTCCCTTGTTCCTTTTTAATATAGTGTTCATGATCTGCTGTGTTATGAAGGACAAGTTCGCAAAAGAGAAGTTACAAGTTTCAGGATATAATCTTGGCAACTGAATATAATACTGTGCAGTGATATATTGTGAGCCTTCCCTTTTTTTAAAGTGTCTATTTGAGAAAAGTATGATTTTGCAAATTCTTTGAAGCTTAGGGAGGATTTTTCTGGAAGATATGAACAGCTAGAGGGTAGATGGGTTCTGCCACCTTCCCTATTAAATCTGCTGCATCTTTTATCTTCATTTGAGTTCAAATTGCGGTGATTTAAGGGATATTAAATTCATACCAGGACTTACTTTCTTTCTTTTTTTTTTGCAGGCGAGCAAGATAGATGTTTTCTTTTACTAAAATATGAGTAACCTTAACTTACTCATAGATTTCATAGAAGACTGATGTATTCTGAATTGCAAGGTTGGAAATCTTTTTTCAGCCTCAAAGCTCTATTCCCATGAAGGAAACTTCTGAGAGTTTATGTCTCATGGTGGCTGGGTCATTCCCTAATAGATGGGGCAAAACTCAACCAATATCAACAATGTGCAAATGAAATTTAGAATCCTTTAGACCAGCAATCACCAACTGGTGGTCCGTGAAAAATTTTTGGTGGTCCGCAGAAAAATTATTTGCATTTTTTATATTGCACTAAATCAGGGGTCCTCAAATTACAGTTCCTGGGCCGGATACATGCAATGAACATTTGTGTTGCTGCAGAGAGTCTCCCCCTTTGGGGTCTTCTTTTGTGGGTCAGTAGGGGCAGAAATTCCAACAGGGTCTGCTTCAGTCTCCTGGTGCGGGGCTATAGGCGAAGGCTAGAAGGAAGTGCCGCTGGTGGCGAAGAGCCAGAGGGCCTCGTTCCAGTGGGACTGCATCGTGGCCTGGAACTGGCTGACCATCTCAGCCCGCTGAGCCTCCAGGTGCTGGCACTCCTGCAGGTCTTCCCTCTGCTTGGAAAGCCTAAGCTCTTCATCCTCAGTGAGGTGCTTCTGCTGAGCCTCCTTCTTGGTCAGATCCAATTTGAACTGAGCCTGCTGTTTTGCCAACTTTTTCTCATGGTGGCTGCTTAGCTCCAACAATTGCTTCCTGTTGGGACCCTAAGGAGCCTGGGGAGGCGAGGAGTGGCTGGGAGGGAAGGGGTGAGTAGGGGCTGGAGAGGCGCCCCTCCACGTGAGTGACATGGAGTTGGCTATGCCCACCTAGTCACATGACCACCTAGCCATGTCCACCCAGCCGCTCATTAGGCAGATCATATTAGTGGTCCACAGGATTTAAAATTATGAATTTAGTGGTCTCTGAGGTCCGAAAGGTTGGTGACAGTACTCATTCCCAGCACACAAGGAACTTTCCAAACTTACAGCAGGTGGCAATGTTTTATGCTGGCTGGGGAATTCTAGGAATTGAGCTCCACACATCTCAAAGTTGCTATGGTTGTCAAATACTGATCTACAGGAACTAAGTATCACTAAAGAGATGGGAGCTTTACCAGAGGTGGGATTCAGCCAGTTCGCACCACTTCGGGAGAACCAGTTGTTAACTTTCTGAGCAGTTTGGCAAACTGATTGTTGGAAGAAATCATTAGGGCAGAGAACCGGTTGTTAAATTACTTGAATTCCACCATTGAGCCTTACTATTTCTTTTCTAAATTCTATACCCCCCCATCCTTCTCTCTCTCTCTCTCTCTCTCTCTCTCTCTCTCTCTCTCTCTCTCTTCATTTCTAACAAGGAAATGCCAGCATTCTTTTCAATAGCTGAAAGTTACGAATTTTTACAGACTATGGGTTTCCAAATGCAGAATTAGTTGAGGAAAACATGGATGGATGGTGAATGCTTTCTGGATTCCCTGTGTTAGTGCTTATTGAAGGGCTTCGGTTTATAAGCTTTGTGGAGCATCTAATGTTTTCTGTGAATTTCACTCTTTGGAATTTGGCCAAAATCAGTCATCAACCAACTTTAGAGATTCAGAGATCCTGGCATTAAGGAAGAATAACTTCCCTAAGGCCTCACTTGTCTTAGAAATGGTCTGAATAGAAGATTATAGTCATCTTCAATATTCATCAGAGAAGAAAGGCAGGATATAAATCCCAAAAATATCCTAGAAAAATCCAACATTATGATAAAATCTGTTGGGTATATAGTAAGATATTTAAATTAAGATTTCCCCCCTAATTTCTAGAGGGCCATTATCTGTTTTTAGGGTGATCATAAGACTGATCTCTGGAGATATCCTTTGTTTGAAGGGCCATTCACTTCAAGTCAACTTTAAAGGGTTAAGAAAACATGAAAAGAAAACTCAGGGTCTTTGAGGTTGCTAATCAACTGGTAATTTGGACAGCTGATGGAACAAACATCAAGGATGCCTGGTTTCCATTTTCCCTACTAATGTTCAGATTTCATTCAAAAATTATTTCTAAATGTACCAAATTTTGAAATTATTATATACCAACCCGTTCAAAAGTATTTTTTTTACAAATGCAGATAGCTTATTTTTCACAACTGGTACAGGAAAAAAGACCTGGGCACAGTTACCGATGCTCTCTGAAATGCCTTTCAGTCTAATATTCCTAAATATGGAACATTCTAAAGGCGACATCACGGGCCAGATCAGCAGATTTTAGAAATGCTGCAATTTGCAGATGTTTAGGAAATCTTATTGAAGTGAACATTTCCTACTAACAAACTAATAAAGACAGCATGTCAGGTGCAGAAATGGAAGACTGGGAAGCTGCAGAAGCCCAGGAGATGGTAGTAGTAAACCACTTCCATATGGTGGCCTAGAAAACAATACAGACATGTCCGTGAAATCACCAAGAACACAAATTGAAGGAAATCTTGTAGGGTCCCCAACATTATTGTGCTCCATTTGATGGAATGGGAATGTATTTCCCCCCTAGTCCTAGCATGGCAAGATATGTTGTACCTTCCTTAGGCTGAGTCTCCAACTTTTCTAATAGTTGGGTTGAATCTCACAGCTTGTATAATACAATGTACACCATTAAATCAAATTTTTGAAGACAATTGGAAACTGAATTCTATCTGAATGGTTGTTCCAGCCTTAATAATGAGTCTAATCCATCTAAAGATGCACCAGTCCAAATTGGTCCCCAATGATCTTTGAATTTTTCCATCTTCTCCTTTTGCCATCCATCTATAATATTGTCTTTAAAACCCACAATCCTGTTGTTAAGAAATAAAGAAATACAGAAATACAGCAAACTCAAGAAATAAACATTTCTTGAGTCTGCTCTATGCAGTATTATGATTCTTTCTTGGCAGAGACAGCTCTCTGTCCTGCTGGCAGAAAGAACAGCAGTGAATTGACAGATCTGGTTCCCTGGGCTGCAGTTTCTCTGACAGTAGTTTTAATAATCTAGGAACCTTGCTTGGACATGTTCCTTTCCCTACACTTTATGAGGACAGATCAAAACATAGCCATGTTTATTTTAAAAATGTTGGGACGGAGTCTGTGCTGAGTAAAACACAACAAAATGTTTGAAATGAAGGAAATGCAATTGTTTCAAGCTTCAGAATAATGGAGTTAGACAAGATGAAAAATGAAACTTTTGGGAAATTGAATGCGAGAGATGGAGCGAATGGCCATGTTCCCACACCACACTTAATTTAGATAATAATAAACCAGTTAGAACTGTTTCTTGGATGTTCTGGCAACATCTAATCACACAAGCTAGGTTTTAAAGGAAGCCATTTTGAAACTTTTTGAGAGCCATTCATTTCTTGACCAGGAGAGCACTGGCAAGGCCTCACGACATGATAGCCTCTTCCCTTTGTCCAGCCACCCACAGTGGACATAGCTTAGCTATTGCTGCTGGTCAGGGTTGGGGGGAGAGGTATGTTCTGTGCTGTCATGACGTAGCAGTGAGTTGTTGAATGGAGAAGTTGCTTTTCGAATCACTCTTGTCCTCCGTCTTTTTTTTTAGAGAATGAAGAAGAAGGCAAAAGGATCATCTGATGTAGGTGTTCCCATGACAGGACAGATGGATGAAGCAGTTTTAACAGATTAACAGAGTTGGAAGGGACCTTGTAGGTAATCTAGTCCAGGGGTGTCAAACTCGATTTCATTGAGGGCCATGTCAGGGTTGTGTTTGACCTTGAGGGGCCAGGGTGGGCGTGGCCATCTTGACATCACTTGTGTCAGGGCCACCTGCAGGGGCCTCCTGCAGTGCTCTGCCAGCGAAAACGGAATCTGGAGGGCCGTGTGTGGCCTTCCTGAGCTCCATTTTCAGCTGCAATGGCCTGCTTCAGTGTTCTGCTGTTGAACGTTTTCGCTGACAGAGGCACCGTGGGCCAGTGCTTTGCTGTTTCCAGGTGGCCTCACGGGCCAGATCTAAGCACCTCATGGGCCGGATCCAGCCCACAGGCCTTGAGTTTGACACCCCTGATCTAGTCCAACCCCCCGTCTAAGCAGGAGACCCTACACCATCTTGAAAGCTTCCAGTGATGAAACTCCCACAACTTCCAAAGGCAACTTCTGTTCCATTGGTTGATTGCTCTCACTGTCAGAAAATTTCTCATTTCCAGGTTGAATTTCTCCTTGTTCAGTTTCCATCCATTATTCCTTGTGTCTGCCAGTTTAACCTTACTGAGTAAGAGTAGATATTTTTAGATTTAAGTTTAGTTTAGTAATAAATTTAGTTCCCATGGGAATTGCACGATTATGTGACCCTTTTTGCTGTCTACCCAATCTCAGACCTTGATCAAGTCTGATAAGATATATGTGTGTGTACAAGGAATTTCCAGGTAATATTCCTTCACCAGTGTCCTTTCTGGAGCTGGGTTAGCACCAAAGTAACAAACATAGAGATTTTCTTTTTCAATTTCCCAATTCTACTGCATCCGAAGTCTACTTTCCTCTCTCATCATTTTGCTGCTTGAATAAGAGTGCGGTTATTGTTGTTTTTCTTAAAGAAAACATACTTCTGTGTTACGTTTCTGCTTTCCCTCCCTCAAGGCAGGACTAGATGGTTGTGTCTTCTGCCTCCCTCAAGCATGACCAGATGGATTCATTGCCCAACAGATTGAGGAATGGTGTGTTCAGAGCTGTTTAGCCTTCTTTGGCCTTGTGATAATTGTAATTTCAAAATCATTAACCTCGACTGACAGATGCCTAAATGGGAAATCTTTCGTAGCCTCCACAACTCAGATGAAGAAGAATCAGGAGAAGAACCACATGAGAATTTAGAAACAAAGAGGCATCCTTCCAGCTCACCTCTGGAAGGTGAGGTTGGTTTATTTATTTAGCAGGCGAGGAAAATCCAGTTCATTTTACGAATTACAGCTTGGGGAAAAAATTGCAGAGTGGGCGCAAATAATCAAGCCGTAATCCTATCACCCCTTCAATCAATCGTTATCATTGAACCTAGTTGGCGAAGATTGCACTGGAGATCTTATTTTGAGAAAGGACATTGCAACATTATTTTATATTTCCCCCCTGAATGCCTGTACTGTATGCCGCTAAAAAGCAGTTGTAAAAAAGATTATATTGGAATGTATCCCTTCAAACTAATGCATTGTCTTGCCTCTTAGAATTCTATCCATATAAATTAATATTTGCTTAAAATTCGGGGATGGGGTGGGGGGGTGGAGGCAGCATTTCCCAATCAAATGATTTTGGGGATAATTAGCTTCAGGCGTGAAAATGAATCATGATGACGAAATGCCATAAAATTGGAAAGCAGCTTGATCCTAGTTACTTTTCGAAACACATGAAGCGTTGCTATTGCAGTCATCAATATTTAGATAGAGAACATTTTTTTTCTCCTCATGCAAAGTGCACTTATCTGGTATTATTCCTAGGTAAATTAAAATAATCTTATCACTTTATTAGAAAGGCTGGTGGAAAAAGTAACAACTGTCGTTTGACTCTATCTGAAGTAGTAGGTGATCCCTTTTTTACAGGGACAGCCTAGCACAGTGTTTCTCAATCTTGAAAACATTAAGATGTTTGCATGTCAATGCCCAGAATTCCCCAGCCCACATGTTGGCTGGGGAATTCTGGGAGTTGAAGTCCAGACATCTGCTGTGTTTCCCCTAAAATAAGACCCTGTCTTATATTTTTTTGAACCCTGAAATAAGCGCTTGGCCTTATTGCCATGCACTCAAAAGCCCAATAGGGCTTATTATCAGGGGGTGTCTTATTTTGGGGGAAACAGGGTAGATATTACAGTCCTTGTACTCCTTGAATTACAACATTTTTCTAGCAACTGTTCGAAGTTACAACAGCACAGAAAAAAGTGACTTATGATCGATCTTTATACTTATGACCGTCACAGCATCCCCACGGTTGTGTGATTAAAATTCAAGGGCTTGTGCAACGGGCATGTATTTATAATGGCTGCAGCATCCCAGGGTCATGTGATCACCATTTGCAACCTCCCCAGCTGGTTTCCGACCAAGCTTTAGGGGAAGCTGGATTTGCTTGATGACCACACGAATTCACTTAACTGCAGCAATTTGTTTAATAACGGTGGCAAAAAGCATTGTAAAATCAGGTGCAACTCCCTTAACAACTGTCTTGCTTAGTAATGGAAATTCTGATCCCAGTTGTGGTCATTAAGACGAGGAGTTCCTACATAGCCTTTGCACTTTGGGAAAGATATTCATAGTTTCAATTATACAAAACTCGCTCCTCCATCCCATTTCACTTCCTCTGTGTCACACACACAATTTGGCTCTTAATCATGGGAAACATCATGCAAAAGGTGAAGTGATTTGCGCTAATGCACCATGACAGCAGTTCCCACAGCCTGTAAATACCTTTAAGTGCCTTTATCAAAGCTGTGACTAAATCTGTCAATGAGCCTGTCAAGAGATGGAGACCTTGTTAGGCCAGCAATGACTTTATTACAGGGTGGATAGATGGATGGATGGATGGATGGATGATGAGACAGACAGGCAGGAAGGTTACCTGCGATGACTGCACTGCTGCTAAATCGCATGTGCCAGAGAACGAACTTGCTCCTGATAAATTATACCCATTTCTTCAAAAGAAAGAATAGGGAAGTAGCTAATTGTTTCATAACCTAATCCAAGGCACCCAAACTTATTTTATGCTAAGTGTAATAGCTCTAATATAATTAGGTTCAACATTCCCCGCTCTCTTTTAAACTAGATTAGATAATTTCCCCCTCTTAGCTGTGCTATTTAAACGGCACATAAATCTTAATTTCAGCTAATCAAACCTGAGTTTGCTATCACAGCTTAAGTCAACATTCTTTCCTCGCTTCCCTCTGTATCGCTATATTATCTATCATCTCTCTCCCTTTCTCTCTCCCCCCACCCCCTTCTCTTGCATCTATCTAATCTCTCAATTTAAGTAGCAATAGCAATAGCAATAGCACTTAGACTTATATACCGCTTCACAGTGTTTTACAGCCCTCTCTAAGCAGTTTACAGAATCAGCCTATTGCCCCCAACAATCTGGGTCCTCAATTTACACACCTCAGAAGGATGGAAGGCTGAGTCAACCTTGAGCCTGGTGAGATTTGAACTGTCAAATTGCAGGCAGATGGCAGTCAGCAGAAGTAGCCTGTAGTACTGCACTCTAACCACCAAGTTCTCTGGAGATGAGGAAAAAGACATGCTTTTTAAGGTTTTGCTAACGAAGCTGACATATTTATGGTTACCAAACACCTGGAAAAAGTGTATCCTTTTTGTCCTCATGTCCCCGTCAGCTATATAAGTCTTATTTAAGGCACAGCCTTAAAATCAAATATTGTCCATTTTTTTGGAAGCCTAAAAATGTTATGTTACCTATGTTATGTAACATGAGGCCTAAAAAAGCCTCATGTTACCTGAGCAGCACTTCCCTAATTGTTTTCCTTGCAAGGTAGTCCAGACAAGAAGCATACCTAGTTGAAGTACCTTTACTTTATTGTAAGGCTACATTAAAAGAATCTTGCAGATCTGATAATATATTTCTCCCCCTGTTCTGTACCCACTACACGTTAGTGTGTATGCAGCTCGACATGCAGCTAAACCCACCTATCCTCCAACAAAACAGACCATGTGCGTAGATCTGAATGCTTTATTGAAAGAATAGGATATGGTGAAACTGGGAAAATAGGGATACATACAATTAGAACCAAATACAAGATAGACAGTATTAAGTTACAATTGAACCAGTGGTGGGTTGCCCCCGGTTCGCACTGGTTCTATAGAACCAATTGTAAAACCAGTGGGAGGCTCCGCCCACCGACCACGATGTCATCAGAATGCTTCTGCACATGCGCGAACCAGTAGTAAAGATAAGTGGAACCCACCCCTGAGCTGAACATAACAATTTAAATTACAAGCAATTTAAATCTCACCAGCGATGCTCTGTATGAGATGTGGGCTTGTCCTTGGATGATCATATGCTTCTGCCTTCTCCAAATGCTAAAGGAAATGGAGTCTGGCTTCCCAGCGTGCACTTGGTTTGAGAGTGTGGGCTGATGGATAAAATGGGTTGGGTCAACTTCAAACAATATACTTAGCACATATTTGTCTCTCCGGCCACTAGATGGGACTAGAGGGCAATAACAGTACATAAAGATCGTATAGTGTGCAGGGGTGGTATTCACTGACCTTCGCTACTGGTTCGCAAATGTGAGTGCACACGCACACTCACTTCGCTTGCACGTGCCACCTCCGCACATGCACAGGGCATAAAAAACGGGACGTGATGATGTCCGGGTGGGTGGGCGGAGCCTCCTGCAGCCGTTGTTACCGGATAGAACCGGCTGAATACCACCGATAGTGTGGCATGACACCTCCCCATCACCTTTACAGCCCAAGAAGCTAGGGAGGGTCTCTTCTGAGATGTTTGCCATGCCCATGTTTCTTCTGCATGTTAAGCTGCTTCTTATCCAGCCATTTGCTTGGCTGTGGCTCTTTACCTTGTCTCATTCCTATATACCTAATAGTATTATATTAATACTGTAAGTACTAAGCACAAGGTAACAAGCTGTGCTCTTTGACTTTAATAGTTGATTAGCATCCACTCCCTTCTGCCCCTGCTTGAAATTGACAAGGTTTTAATCAGTTACACGCTGAAGGCTTTTGGTTCCTAGCACATTCCTGCAATTGAAAAACCAGTATTTCTGAGGCTGTGAAAAGCAATTTCATATATTGGTAGAACATCATCTTTTTTTCTTTTGGTATGTTTTGTATTTTGTATTTTTTATTTTTTTTGGTCACAGATGACAAGAACGTTAAACAGTTAATGTATTCCCCTTTGCCTCGACCCTGCCATTTGTCTTCCTTTCTAATTATCCGTGTCTGATAACCTTAGACATTTTCATATATAAAGATGAAAAATATTTCTTTTTGGCAGGGATTAAGCATTATGGAATAATGGGTATTATGGTAGGATTGTTATTGTGCTTGAAGGGCTGACTGTATAATAAGTATAGGGATTTTTTTTTCATTAATGCAGGTTTTTTTTCCCTGAACTAAGAGCAGAGATTAACTTTTTGAAATGGATGGCCACGTGAATTCACATCCATCACAGAGGGATACTGTGCAACTCCCTTTATGGTACTCTGAGCTCTACACCCAGTAGCATGGAAAGCATCACTTTCTGCCCTCTTGGTCAACAAGACCTCGTGATGCTCTGAGGCAAGATAATGAGTATCCTATCCTTACTGTATATGGATTTTGAACAGCCATCAGTTCCATGTCTTAGCCAGACCTGAATAGGCTTGCATAATTTGTGGCATTATTGGCATCTGGCATGAGCAAAAGGTAGGCAAGAAGCAACTGGTAGAAAGCTGGTCATTTTTAAGGGAAACACCATGCAGCCTCTCATTTCCGCAATTTGTGGGCATTGAACTGATATGAGGAACTGGAACAGCTGTTCCTCCAACCTGTTACCCTCCAGATTGCCTGGGATTAACTCCAAGGATTGTGAGCCAGCCAAGGGCTGCAGGATTTAAATAAAATTAACAGGTCTTGGGAGTAGTGTAAGAATTAAAAAGTAGGCACTGAACACTCAGTTGCTTGCGTGTCTCAAACAGAGACCAGTCAGTTGTGGGTCTGATGGCCTTTGGTTAGTCTATGTTTTCTTTCTCTAAATGACTGACTGGCAGTTCTTTGTTGTCATTTGGGGACTCATAATTTTTTCCTACAGAGTCATAAAGGTAGCCAACTCCTTGGATTACCTGCCTTAAAAAAAGAGAAAAGAATCAGCACTATCGTGGCCTTTCTCTACATCTTCCTCTCCTCACACTTTCCCTTTTCCTCAGCTCCTCCCTCCCTTTCTTTGGCCAATGAAACTTCAGCATGCCTTGGCCAATAGAGCAGTTTTAATAGGAATCTTCTTTGGATTGAGTCCCAGCTCAGGTATGGACTTCAATATATCCATGCATGTGGACTTCAGCTTCCAGAATTCCCCAGCCAGCCCTGTTAGTTGGG